CAGATCTAGACATGATCCCTGAAGGCTGCAAAACTGAGGTGTAAAACTGATGAGGAACCTGACATCAGGTGCACAGTATATGTGTCCACTGCATGATTTCATACCAAAAGAAAAACCTACCACCACCTACCTCCTGCCCAGATGAAATGCACCTGTGAAGTCACCCTGCCAAAACCTGACCTGAATCTGACCATGCATCCAGTGGAACTCTGTGCAGTGACAGTGTTATATATCTGTGCAGTCCGTGTGGGATTGAACAGTTGAAATGTAGCTAGTGCAACTGAGAAATTGAACGTGTACCTTTACTTATTTGTAATTCATTTTAATGTAAATAGCCTTAGGTGTTTCGGGGCTGCCTTACTAAACAGCACAGCTCTAGATCTAACAGTCCCTGATCAAATTCCTCGATTGCCTTAATACGGTCTTTTAAAACAATTTGTTTCTGATCACAGGCCCAATCTAGAATCACACAACACAGAAAGTGTGTTAGGAGGACAACGATATAGGGGTAGTAGGACAATGGTACTGGATTGTGGCAAAAATCCAAGGGCAAATTGGGCTCTGTGGAAACAGGCCACCCTAGCCCATGCTCCTTTTTGCGAAGGTGGCACAGGATGTGAATATTCCATCTATGTTTGTGCAGACACGCCAGCAGGGAGGAGGACAGGCTCTGGGGCCAGCAGGGGGTAGCACTCAAACCCCAAGCCCTCCACTTAACCTCGTTCTTCAATTCCCTCATGGGTGATACAGGGATAAATGCAGAACCTACCTCATAGGGCTATAGTGAAAATTCAATCAGTTCTTGAAAAGCACTTAGAACAGGATTTGGCACAGAGTAAGAGCTTAATAAATGTTACTTATTAGTCCCTTTCCTTTGTTACTTAAGAGGTAATGTAGCCAATTTATTTGTGGATGTAGGGAGTGGAAGGGCATCAAACAGCCCACCTTGTTTCCCTCCCTTGCAGATAGTCCCCACTCCTTCTGCCCCAGAACAAGTAGTCTGTTCAGGGGTTGCTAAAGTCAAAAATGAAGGAAAACAATAAGGATTTTCTGTTTTGAGATAGTTTCTCAATGGTAAGTCCAGGCTGGTGATGGTGGGGTGTTCCATGGCCAGCTCCAAGGAACCAGAAACTTCCACGATGGTGCCTGCCACTCCTGGCTCTGCCATTTGACATTGCTTCCACCACACTGGCCACGCTTCAGACCCTGCGGTGAGTAGCCACCCTGTCACAAAGGCACAGTTGAGAAACGGAATGCACACTGCCCTGGCCGGGTAGGTCAGCTGGTTAAAGCATCGTTCCGAGATTAGGGGTTCGATCCCCAGTCAGAGTGCATACAAGAATCAATCAATTAATGCATAAATAAGTGGGACAACAAATTGATGTTTCTCTCTCTCCTTCCTTTCTCTCTAAAATCAATTTTAAAAGGGGTGGGTGGGTGGGGGGAGGATGCATACTTTACAGACAAGGAATCTGAATCTTAGAGAGGGAAGAACCCACCAGAGGTCATACAGGCAAAAAAAGGCCTGGCCATCATGCTCTCAATCCTGCCCCATTAACATCTTTCCTTCACCTGGTCCTCTAGTCTAAGGAACTTCTAATATAGGAGAGGTACATGAGAATTACATAAATTACCTAAAGTCAAAGTTAAGTCAGGGGCCTCCTACATGTTGTTTGACAGAACTTGGCTGACCAGAGATGCAAGTAGACCACAAGGAGCCTCTGGAACAAAAATATTCCT